TGCTGGATCTGCACTGGAATAGAATGAATCAGAATCCCGGTCCTGGTCATTTCTTTGAAATTTGATGAACTTTTTCAACAAAGCAGAATTTTATGTTTCATTTATTTGGCTTATTTTTATGCCAACATTTTAACCATTTTTTATGAGCTCTTTTTTCAATACTTCAGACTTGGGTTTTAAAAAGTTCCTATTGCAGATTTTGGTTGATATTTTGCCCCTATGATCCGGATTCGGGACCTGCATATTTTTGCAGACCCCCGGGAGGCAAAAATCTTGCGGCTAAGCACTTTGAAAATCCTCCATATTTACTTCAACGGTTACATCAGTCTTTTTAAAGTTAAGGAAATTGGAAGCAGTTTGAAAAATGTTTTACCTCGATTCCCTTGCATGTTCTAATCTCAGCCTACTACCATCAAATTCTCGCGAGACATCCAAGTCCTGATTACAAAGCACAAAACAAATATAATTTCCAAAGAAGCTGTGATCCTAATTTCAAAAAAATAATAGAATCGGTTATAATGGAATATCCAGGATCTTCATACAGGGTGTCATACGAAACATAAGAGTCTTCGATTTAAAAAACCAAGAGTGAATACTGTATATTCCCCCACACCAAAATAATATAAATTTTTCGTGCTGAATTGGGAAAATAATAATATTTCATGGAAAATAATTGATTTTTGAGAAAAGTATAAACAGATTGAAAAAAATCAATGTTTGACTACCCATTCCATTACTAATAGGATAGGGCAGCTTCATGTCCTATCCTATTGCTTTAATAAGTTTTTACATATAAATATATATATATATTGAAAATTAGAGGAATTGATACACAAAGGCGGGGGGGGGGGGCGCAAAAACTCGTATACATGGGATGGATCCTCGTTAATTTGCATTTTCATGATAAAATGTAATGATAATGATAGAGTTAATATAATCTTTAAATCATGATGTCTTCAAAGATATTAGATAAGTTGTTTATAAAGGTCATCTTTTACTCATTTCATCTTAATGTAAACTTTTACAGAAACACAACAACATTCAAATTCAATTTATTCATCAATTTATACTTACACTCTAATCTTTACCTGCTACAGATGCTGTAGGAAAGAACTTCTACTTATCACAAAATTCACAATTTACTGACATCGATTTTTCCGAAAACATCAATTAATTCCATACAAATTAAAGTTTTCAAAAATGTTATTTTTTCAAATATTTGGGTATTTTACCTTACAGATCAATTCTTTTGAAAAAAAAATATAATATTTGAAAATTCTAGCCATCCAAGGCCAAAAAGTGGCTTTCATTTAAATACCAGGTACAGAGACATCTAATGGCAAAACTTGAAAGGTCCTAATCCGACCTAATACGACCTAAATCAGACTTAAGGGCACTGGTTAGGTTGTGACCAGTTATGACCAGTTTGGTAATCCAACCATGCAAGACCTAATTTGACTTAAGGGTCAAGTTAAAAACGGTTAGGTAAAGCAACCAAGTCCGACCTAATCCAACCCAATCAAGTTAGGTTTCCTGACTTAACTCGACCAATCACAACCAAATCCGACCTAAGATGATTGGTCAGGTTAATGCCAGTATGAGACCAGTTAGGTAACTCTAGGTAACTCGACCTAACCCGACCTAACCTGACCAAGCACAACATAGGGGGACTGGTCATTTTCTAACCAGTTAGGTTTCCTGACATAACTCAACCAATCACCACCAAATATGACTTAAGTGGATTGGTCAGGTTAAGACCAGTATGAGACCAGTTGGGTAACTCAACCTAACCTGACCAAACACGACCAAGGGGGACTGGTCATGTTCCGACCAGTTAGGTCTCCTGACATAACTCAACCAATCTCTACCAAATCTGATCTAAGTTTGTTGGTCAGGTTAAGACCAGTATGAGACCAGTTTGGTAACTAAACCTAACCCGACCAAACACGACCTAGGTGGACTGGTCATGTTCCGACCAGTTAGGTCTCCTGACATAACTCAACCAATCTCGACCAAATCCGACCTACGTGGATTGGTCAGGTTAAGACCAGAATGAGACCAGTTAGGTTATTCAACCTAACCTGACCTCACCTGACCAAACACGACCTAGGGGGACTGGTCATATTCCGACCAGTTTGGTAATCTGACGTAACCCGACCTGACCTGACCTATCTCCACCTAATGGGACTGGTCGCACCCCCTACCTCGCAGGAGAGTTGCACAAAAATGTACAATTATGCAACAGGCGCTGAAAATCACTTTTTTATGACTAACCTTGTATATATAAAAACATATATAAAAATATTACAGGGGGGAGTGAGGGGTTGGTGAATAGCATTTCCAAGCTTTGAGGAAAATATTGCGTCATTATGGATTTTAAGATATAAAAAAATTTAAAACCATGATTGAGAATGCAACATTTGAAAATTTAATTTTCACTCCTTTCAACAATACAGAGGAGAAGGGAGGGATGGGTTTAGTGAATAACATGTAGATAATTTGTGAATATTAGTTAAACATAAAAAGAATTTAAAAGATAACAAAAAATAAACAAAACCTTGTGTTTTTCGGGAGGAACATTTTAAAACCTCTAAAAAAAGTAGTGGAAACCACCCCCTCTTGAAACCAAAGCAAAATAATAAAAAATGCCAATACTTTCATTCATTTATTTAAAATATTTTTATAGCTTAATTTATAGAAGAGGAGGGGGAGGTAAATAATTCTTTAAAGAGGGGGAGTAGGTAGTGGGGGGGGGGGGGGGACAGAAATAATGAAAATATAAATTGCATATGGATTCACACGAAAAAAATCAATTACCAACCTTAAGAACAATGTTGTGGTTTTAGCCGTAACCCCTGAAGAGCTTCTCAATATCACGATCCCTGATATCTTCGGGCAGTTTTCCTATATTTACTTTTTAGTCAGACATCCTCACTAGGCTACCTGCAAACGAACATTTCGTTTAAGTTTATTAAGACCAGAAACTGGAAACAGTAAGTTTATGAACGTAAATATCGACTAAAATAGAACAATACGGCGTCGGACTGAAAAATATTACTTTACAAAATACTTACTTGATACAACTTTTAACTATTAAATTCTAGACAGAAAATAAGAATCATAGTTGTACTTAAATTCTATTGAATTTGAAGCCACACAACTAGCACGGAACGATTGCGGCGGCCATATTGAAATTTTAGCCAAGCGAGCTACGCACGTGAAGCAGTTGAGGCAGGTAGATATCTCACAAAACAGTAGAGGTAGCTAGATAGTTCAAAATTTAAAAAAATTTTAAGAACAATTTAATTACATCTTAACATTCGCATTAAGATTAAAATTTAATTTTTTTTTGGAAAACGCTTAAAATATATCATCCTAAAATGTCGTTGTTCTTTTGAATTATGTTAAAAAAAAATTTATTTGGACATGGAGAATATTAAAAGAGCCCTCCCCCCCATGGATGCCCCCCTAAGCCTCTCAGGGGGGGCGGGGAGGCACGGCCCCCCTCATACGCCAGTGTATTTGTTCTATACAATGTAATTAAACTTAAATTGAATACATCCGTAATTTCAAGTGACCCCCCTTAGCCTCTCAGAGGGGGGGGGGGCATGCATAGGGGGCACTGGACAAATTATTTGTAGGATAAATAATGTGTAGGACAAATGAATTTTACTCAAAAATTATTGTGGGACAAATGATTGTGGGACAAATGATTGTAGGACAACTGATTGTAGGACAAATTAATGTAAGCTAAATTATTGTAGGACAATTATTGTAGGTCAAATTATTGTAATAAAATAATTGGAAGACAAATGATAGAAAGACAAATTCCATAGCGCCTAATTTTATATGCAAAAGGGTGTAAATGTGCTGAATGTTCCTTCTAATTAGTTTTATATATCTAGGCTGAGCTGACAGAGCAGAAAAACACAAGAATTTGATAATTTGCTTTTCTGTCTGTTTGTTAAAAAAACGTCAAAAATATAGCTTACTCACAAGACACAAAGTTGAAAAATGTTGCCCATAAGAAAAGGCCGACAATCATCAAAATGAAAATGCACCAATTTAAATAGAGAAAAATCTGTCAAAATTTGAGAATGATTTAAAATGACTACTTTCAAAGCAAAAGTTAAAAGTTAAAAATTTTAATATTAAAGGGGAGACCATGCGCCCTAAAGCATAGTTTATTCAAATTGTTTTGTTTTGAAGATGATTGATTTTAACAAAAACAATCCATTTTTCAAAGGTACAGATGTTTTGATGTTTTTGATGTTTTTATAATTATGAAGTGGAGTCAAACCTTACTTAACCCTATTTCCACTGGCCTATTCGTTGCCCCAAAGTACCCAACCCAAACTAAATTCTGTTTTTCTGAGAGCCGTTCAAAGGTTCTTGAAAATTACTTTTTTCTAATTGAAATCGCATAGATAAATCTCAAAAATAAACATTGTTTTCTAGAAAGACAGTACTATATCTTTTAGAATTGGATAAATCAGATTCCAGGATCCCTAAAGGAAGATAACAAATTGTTTCGTAACAAATCCACTCTGGGCCGTAGTAAATTTGAATTCGAACAGAATCTGCCCAGTTTGTACCGGCCTGCCAGATAACAGTGTGTACTGACCCGATGCTATGCGCCTTGTCACAGCACGTGTGACCATATTCTGTACAGTACATCGCCTTAACCAGACTAACATACGACAGGGGTCAATTTTCTTGGCATAGTCCCGTCGGAGAGATAACTATGACAACTCCCATGGCGCATTCAGACTTTTTTACAGTAACCAGTCTAATCCTAGGCCTATTTGACCGACCCCACTGGCTTAGTCCACCGTGAATCATCATTTTGAAATTTATAAACAATAATCAAATTTAAAAAGTAATACCAAAATCTCAGTTTGTGTTCATCTATTTCTTCATAATAAATAATAAAGACTTTTTGCAGTAAAACGACAAAATTTATTTACAATAAAAGTTGAGTACAAATTTATTTAACAAAGCTACAACATTGTTTTAAATCCTGGAAATGTTTTCTTACAACATGCAAATAAAATGGCGACTTGAAAAGTCTAGTAAATATATTAACTTTTATAAAATCTTGAACCTGCTGCAGAGTGGTGTTGGTAGTACTATACAAGTGACTAAAACATGAGAAAATCTCTGGAAACTATCACAAATCAACTCAAAAAAGATTTGGCGAAGGAAGCTATCAGATTTCTCGGAAAATTGTTATTTTTACTAATAATTTCAAGTTTACGTCTGGTGGGGCAAATGTAAAAATATATAAAGCAATTTACGTTCGGGATATGTTTCTAAAACAAAATTAAGTAAATTCATATTTTAAAGACTTAAAAATCTCTTCAAACAAAGTGAGTTTTTCTCAAAAATTTAAATTTTTTTGCTACCTGATGTAAACCATTGATATTTCTTATGTACTTAAACTATTTGATCTTACAGAATTTATAGCTTGAAATATCAAAGGCCTGTTGTTAATAAATAGGGATTAAAAATCAGAAATCATTAAAAAAGTCTCATTTTCTTTCACAGAGGAGCCCCAATCGTCAAAAACGCCTTTTATTAACAATATCAAACTTTTTGAAACCTTTTGAAAATCAAAATTGTTTAAAAATTACTTTAAGACTTTGTTTATTGTACATTGTACATTTCAGAACTCTGTACAGCACAGTTTTTTGCACCAAAACTTGTTAGCAAATAATTAATGCAAAACGATGATAAAAGAAAAAAATATTTTAGGATTCATTTTCTACTTAAATCATTTGTTGATAGATTACCCGAGTAGAGATATGACATGGATGCCATTATTTCTGAGATCAAGAACAGATGTTATGTTTTCAGGTCGAGTCGGATAATAATTACGAAAATGATAATGAAGTGAAAACAAATTGCCACAATTACGAAAAAAAAACTTTAAAATTTTAATTTACAACATTTTCAATGAAAATATTATTAACAATGTTGCATTTCATGATGCAAATGACAATTAAGATGCTAATAAATGTTAAAAAAAATCTTTTAATGAGATGAACTGAAAAATGATCATAATTTTAGACACATTTCAATAATATTTTTGTTTGACAACATAATAAAAGTAATGATAAATAATAAAAGTTAAATTAATAATCATAAAAATGTGATAATACCTTTAAATGTTCAGGGTACGATTTGATTCCTGCAAATATAGAAATGTCTAAAGCCAACGTTACGAAAGGTATAAATCTCATAGAAATATTGGTTACTATAAATATTCTAATGTTTAGAATCATTTGGATTTAAAACATTTTTTCCAAATTCCGAACAGACTCTTCACCATTTTTAACAGAATGATATTTGTAAGATTGAAAGTACGAACAAAATGATAGGGGTTCTTTTAATAATGGAGGCAAGATTATTGCAGCCACGACCTAAACCCTTTGACCAGACCTGACTTAAATTTGGCTAAATTTGGAAGGATTTTAATTGGGTTAATTTCAGTGATTCATACAATTCGGAAAATTAGTCTTACACTTTTTTGTAGCCCTAGTCATAAACCTTTTAAAAATGCTGGCAACGTGCTTGTTTCTAGAATAAGTTTTTAAAGCATTATTGGCAAAATACTTCTCGATTTATGCGTATCTTGGTTTGCAGTAAAATATTTTGCGAGTTCTTCAATAGAAAGACGGGTCTGCCCGAATTACCCTTCTCATAGGGTCCAAAAAGTGACTAAATTTAATGGGCAAAATTTGCGCAATTTTCGCGCCAAATTGTTTTTGCAAAATTTTTCACAATTTTTACGCGTGAAATGCAATGAGTTAACCGTGGTTTTGCGCAATTTTTGTGCATGATACGCAATGAGTTTTGCGTAATTTGCGCAAAACCAGAAGTTTACGTAAATAAGTTAATTTTTTTAAGCAAATTGACGAAAATTGATATTTTAAGCATAGAATAAACTAAAGATTTATTCAACTAATACATACAAAAAAATTATTAATAAAAAAGGGTATGATATAAACTTCTCTTAATTGGTTACTTTCTGTTACAAAAAGTTCATTGCATTCCAGATAGGGATTCCATCGTAACAGATTATTCACTTACGCAAAATTAGGTGCAGTTAACTGAAATAATTTTCATTTTGTGAAATTTCCCAGAATTACATATAATTTGCGAAACTTCAATTTCACGAAACTACAACGTAATTTCGCGAAATTTTGTAATAATTACGCGGAATTAGCGAAACTTTGATTTCGCCAAATTATGTTGTAATTTCGCGTAATTTCTTCAAAAGTAATTTCGCGAAATGTTTCAATAATGACGCCTAATTAGTTAAACGTCCATACAAACCAGCCAAATGGAGAACATTTAACCTTCCTAGACATGAACTCTACCATCTAAAAGTTAGCGTACTAGAGAAGGTTTGGAACCTTAGGAGAAGTTTAATTGAAGTACAAGAACCTAAATACATGACTAGGAATGAACAGAAAAATAGTTTTTATAATAATTGTAAACTGTGATTCAGTGTAAATAAAAGAGTTTTTTTATTTTCAATTCTTAAATGTTTAAATATTCCTCTTAGACAAGCCGCCCCCCTCCCTGAATTACATAAAAGTTCATTAATTAGATCGATCCCCATCACCAATCTACAGTCTACAATTATACATATAAACTAAATAGTTTGTTTTTAATCTTCATTCGACAATAACAATCTCAAGGAATAATAATTTTCTTAAAACATTCTTTAAAAAGTGAATATTTGAAAATTATCTTTCTTCCGTCTCATAATTCTGCAATTTTTTATCTACTGCCAATATCAGACTAGAGAGAGCCCGAGATTTAAATATTTCGGCTCGAGTCGTAATTCCTTAAACCCGACTTTAAGACCCAATCTTTGACCCAACTCTGACGACAGCTTGTGTCACGTGATTGACAGGTGCAAGATCTTCGGCTCGACTAAAGGAGTGAGGCCCAATATGAAAATAAAACTGACCTTGGTTGGTTTTAGTACAGAATAAGTCTCAATGTTGAGTCTTGTTTTCATAAAAACCTGGAATACGTCAATTCCTACCATGAAAATCCACCAAAAAGAATATTAAATCTGATTTTGAACTCAACTCTGTGGAAAATAAGATGCAGCTTGAACAGCTTGGACCCGAGCCGTATTTTCCAGAGTTTTGAAAATTGCGGGCTCAGTTAAGTTAAAGCACTGATATATAAGACACACGCTACAGTTAATTGCCTGTTTTTAATAAAATATTTAAGCAAAACATGTTTTGTCATAAAAATATGGATAAGAGAAGAGTAAAAGTAATTAAATAATTCAAAAAAGAAATTGAGTCTTTGCCAAAAACCCCTATCTTTGCAACCTGATAATGCAAATGTTTGATATTTTAAATTTTGGGTTGCAGAGATATGGGGATTTGAAAATCTGAGTTTGTGACAAAGACTCAATTCCTTGACTAGTAATATGTGTCACTATCCAATCTCAACTCTTAAGGCAAAATCATAGGGNAGTTCTAGTGGGATAATATTTATTTTTTGATATTAGTTTACCAACTTTTAAAGTCTGTTTTTTTCACCTGTCTGTTTTGTTAAAAATTTAGAAAGAACAGCAGTCTTTGGTGTTTGAAAATGGGATTTATATTAGGGTTAAACCGAACATTTCAAGAATATGTGGTGGCCGTGGGCAGGGCATCACTCCCCCCTCCCCTATTTCTTAACGCCCCATCTATACGCCCTTGCTATGAAAAAATTATGAAAAATTCCTTTAAGACGAATCCATTTTTGAAACTATTTTATATTCTATAAAACAAAATATGCGTTGGTTGGTTTAGCTTTCCACCTTTTTTTAAAAAAAAATGAACACAAATGACATAATAGGGGGAGAGATTGTCTAGCTCTGTTGCAGAAATGATGTTTTTAAAAAACTTAAAAAATGTAAATGATATAATATAAATGTGTGCTTTAACTGTGTCTTTTTAATATACTAGGCTTTTAGGGCGCTTCGCGCCCATCTTCTATTTAAATTGTGAACATGTTCTTTTTGTTTACATTTTAAAAAAAAGAAGAAAAAAATTTTGCGGATTTTTAAAAAAAATTTTCGGATTTTCAAGAATTTAAATTTTTTTACAAAATTAAAAACCTTTAAAACACTCTTTTAAAAATTTTTTTTATCATTCATAAACCTTTTCTGTGGTCACGTGATGTCCCACAAAAAATTTGGGCCCGATTGGTTCAGCCGTTTTGACGTTTATTAGATGCAAAAAAAACAGACAGACAAACAGACACCCAGACAGACAAGCCAAATTATATAGATTTTAATTCGTGTTTTTACTGTGTCTTTTTAGTACATTTTCATACTTGTGTTTAGAGCCAGTTTGTCGAAAATGTTTGAAAATACTCGAATATCCCAGTTGCATAAATATGTGCTTTTACTATGTATTTTTTGTCATTTTTCCAATTTACTTTTTTAACTTTTTCAAATCCTCCGTTTTACCCTAACCATTAAATGTATAGGTCTATTTTATCTTACTGAGCTGGCCATGAAAAATTCTGTTTTTAAACAGGACACTCAATTTAGAGGTGCAATTAAATGAGGCAAAACTAAGTCGTCCATTTTTTGAAAATGGACGACTTAAAACTAACTTTAGAGGTTGTAAAATGAGAACGCTCAACAGTGAGACAAACATTGATTCATACATTGATTCTTTGTATACATAAATAGTTTCATAATCATATGTTTTCAGAAAAAATGGCTGTTTTAGGAATAAACAAACACATTTTACAGGAATGTTTTGTTTTATAAAGCTATAAACACAGTGAGAAACATAAAACTGTGGAAGGTCCAAGTTTTAAATAGTTTTAATTTTGCATAAAACATACCAATTGTGCAGTGTGTAGAATACATTAATCCATTTCAAATCAAATCAAGTACAGATAAGGTTTGTTAAATGTCATCTTCTTACTCCAGAGTGTTATGGGTCTCAATTTATTATTGATGGTATGGTATATTCTGGGAGTTGTAGAAAATTTAAATTTAAATTATTATATAAATATAAATTATAAAAAAAAACTTGCCATTCATTGATTGGACAGAAGGTGCTAGCTGTTCTTTTTGTCTGTACATCAATCTTTTTGATAACAAGTAAAGGTAATATTAAAATATTATAAAAAGGGTATAACAATTTAGGAAATTGTCTACTGATCTCTTTTTTAATAGTTTTTATTTTTTATATTCTGTTAATTTTTTTAAAAAAATTTTAAGTTACTATAGATTTTTTAACCAGAACAACGAAATTATTTGTTATTATTTTTATTCTAAAAAAGCCTTAAAGAAGCGGGATAATGGGAATATTTTCTGTAAGGTAGTTCTAGCTGGATAATTAGAATATTATCCTTTAAGGTAGTTCGAGCAGGATAATAAGAATGCTATCCTTTAAGGTAGTTCTAATGGAATAATAAGAATGCTATCCTTTCAAGTAGTTCTAGTGGGATAATAAGAATACTATTTTTTAAGGTAGTTCAGGTGGGATAATAATAATATTATCCTTTAAGGTAGTTCTAGGAGGATAATAAGAATACTATCATTTTAGGTAGTTCTAGCTGGATATTAAGAATACTACCCTTTGAGGTAGTTCTAGTGGGATAATCAGAATACTATCCTTTAAGGTAGTTCTAGTGGGATAATAAGAATACTACCCTTTTAGGTAGTTCTAGTGGGATAATAATAATACTACCCTTTAAGGTAGTTCTAGCTGGATAATAAGAATACTACCCTTTTAGGTAGTTCTAGTGGGATAATAAGAATACTACCCTTTAAGGTAGTTCTAGTGGGATAATAA